AAAAATATTTTTATATAATAATTCTTAATGTTTTAAATATAACAATTTTTAATTCTTTTAATAAGTTATTGAGGATCAAGCGGGATTGGTAGGGAATTCATTCAAATCAGCATTTTAGCAAGATTGTATTTTTACATGTGTAATTGTAAGCGTTATTTAATTATGCGCTTTAATTTTTCATGTTTTTGTGAAAACATTAGAAATTTTGGGCTGTGTTAATCTTGTACACATTTTCATGTTCGCGGTTTAATATGTTTGCCTTGTAATGTTTGCGTTTCATTGTGATGATCCCTATAAATTTATTTTTTTTTTTTATATTTTAATTTTACATATTTTGTGTGGATAGCAATGCATCGTTCTTTTAATATTCATAATTTATAGAATATGAAGTAAAAACATTTTAAAAAAAAATATATATAAATAATAATAAATATTTTTGTTAAAATAATATAATTAAACATTCTTTTTAGTGATATTCATTTTCTGCATGCAAGTATTCTAATTTTTTCTCAGAATATGCCTTGTTTTAATTTTTAAATGTGAAAGAGGAACATGTAAATAAATCATATATTAAATTTCCTGTAATCCTTACAGTCACTCCACGTTAAGTAGCAATAATAATTAGATGATATAATATCCTATGAATTCATAATATTTTTTTCTTCTTTTTTGATGAAAAATTTATATAGCATTTCTGTTCTACATAATTACACCCGATTTTACCTATTCTGCAAAATTTTTTCACGTTAAGATAGAAAAACAGACATATTTTTATATTTAATATTTCGAAAATAAATAACATTATAGAATAAAAATTTTTACAAATTATTTAACATATATAGAAAACATGATAAAAAAAGAAATCCTAACTGTATAATACACATTTTGGCATATTTAATGTATTTTTCTTTAAATAAGCAAATATAACATTATAAACCTTTTATTGTTAAAAGTTAGTTTCCCCGTTTAAGCCTTAAAATTTCCACTGTTTTCTGTGCTACGTTTATTTCGAATTTCTTACAAGGATGTTTGTTTAACACTTGGGTTTTTTTTTACACTATTATTTTAATTTTGTTTTTCCCTTTGATATGTTGAAAGTGTAGCAATTTTAGTTTCCATTAAATTATCCCACGTTTCAAGGGGCTAGGAAATGTGCTTATATAGGAAAAGGGGTTCCCATTTTTTACAACTTTGCTTTAATGCACTTCTTATAGGCGGAAAACACTGATTATTATTTTATATTTTTATCAAATTTTTACAGTGTTTTTACAATAAAATAGTCCTTAATGTATTTTCAATGTTTTTATGTTATTAATGTTACAGTATTTATAGATTTTTGATTTACACATATTTAAGGCATTGGATAATGCATTTTTCAAATACATGCAAAAAAAGTTTTCCGTGCTTATTTTAAAAATAAATTTAATGTTTATTTAAAGTATAAAAGATACCCAATTTTTTATAAATTCTTGTCTCTAAAAATGAGAGTTATTTTGTAAAATTACGTTTCGTCTTTACTAATATGGTAAAATATATATCTATAAAATAGATAGAAGTATGGAAACCATTATTTGGCTTTTTAAGCATTGCTAAATACCTGACATTTTGCTCTTTAATAATAAATAAAAAGGGTTAACAGTTCTATATACGGGACCTATCACATTTATATTTATGCATATTGCAAGTAGCACATAATGCTGCATATTAGAAAATACTATAGTGGCGTAACATTTTTCATTTCAGAAGATGTTTTTTTATTATATATGTAGAAATTAAGCATTTATATCAATGAGGTTTGACTAAATATGTGTTATTCTATATTAATGTGGCATCAACACAGCATTAACTTTTTTTTATAACATAGATAAAGTAGACACTATTGGCTAGTGAACATGTTTTATTTTGATGTTGCTATTGTGAAGGAGTTCATGCTAATATGCTCTTTTATAAATGTATATTTTTCATGAATACAGAGTTTTTTATTTGTTTCCTACAATAATACAAATAGAAATGCTTGTTGTATACACCCCACATATGACAGACATCATATAAATCTAAGTGATCTGGAATAATGAAATACTCCAAAAAAAAAATTTCTACATTAGAGTTTTTTACAAGAATTATTTCACTAAAAAAATTAGGCTTGTATAAAGAAAGTAATACGCCTTTTTGAGTGCTAGACAAATGTGTAACTATAGTAGATATATAATTTCTGTGAAAAATATATGAACATGCATTTTTATGGGTGAAATAAAGAATGATTTTCATGAATAATATAGTTTTCTCTTTTATTCCATAGCGCGTATTTTTCAAAAAGTATAAAAGGGTGAACATAATATTATTCTGGAATTATTATATAAATATTTTGTCTGGATCATGTAGAAGTTGTAGAAGTTTTATTATTTTAAGTTCCATTTCATTCATGTAAAATAAAGTAGCACAGAGTTCACAAAATTAAATTATTATAACACCTCTTCCCCACCACTTGTTGCTCATTCAAACATTTTTACAACTGAACAGTTGGACGCATTATTAAAGTTACGACAAAGAACATAAAGAATAAAGGAAATTTATTTATTACTTCTACATTTCAGTAATTCATCAAATGCGTTAGCATAAAATTGGCTAGTACCACGACCCCATATTTATTTCAAGTATTTCTTTGATGTTATTTCCAAAAAAATAAGAATTTACAATGTTATATAATGGTAATCCCTTGAAATTACATCTTGCATTAAATTAATTATTATTTTAAACATGTCCTTAAAAGTTGAATGCTTATTTTTTTAT